TCCCAACCTTCCTGCACTCCCACTGACCTGATGGTTTCTGCCACAGGATCCCTAGTACTTTTCTAAGTTTGATAAAGCTGCCTCCCCAGAAGTCCAGTGTGCTTGTACAACTATGTTCCAGTGTCTGCGTTCAGGAATCTATCAGATTCCATAAACAGGCCATCTTTTCAGTCTTTTACTGGAGAGGACTGAAGGTAGAATGACCGACTTCACTGGCAGTGGCCTGATGATGAGAGTGGGATAAAGTTAACCCCTGCAACATCACGCCTACTCCCTCATGACCTGAGGCAGAAAATAAATCAAGAGGCTTTGCTGCTTTAGTGATCTGAAACACATAGCCATGATATTTCCTGGAGGGTCTCGGTTCCTCCAGCAGCAGACTGTGCCTCCACAGTCTCCCACAAGAAGAATTTCCCAGAGTGGCGGCTTTCAATGCCTGGAGGCATTCTGAGTTTCCTTGGAAGCATGTCTAAGGCTTGCCCAATTCCAAGAGGGGACTGGCCACCTTTCTGGGCTGATTCTGAAAGCGTGTTGTAGAGATGGTCCCAAATGACTGTCATGGGAGAAGCTTGTCTGTTCACAAAATGGTGGCTGTGATGGGCCTGACGGATCACAAAACAGCTATTTCCCAGAAAGCAAACCTCCGGGTGACTCTGCTTTTTGCTCTTTGCAGAAAGAGGATGGGGAAGCGAACACACCTTTCAAATAAAGTAAAACATTATAACACATGCTACTTTTATGTTCTTAGAATATAGGATTTATTTGGGGCCCAGATGTAGCATCCCAGATTCTTATGTTAAACGTAATTTAAAAATCAAGTTAGGTGGGGCAGAGAGCCAGTTGAGGCACCTGGGGCCTCCTGATCCAATCCCCTATTTCTTCTTGAAGGAAAGCTCAGTGGAGTCAGCGAGAAAGCTGGCCTTCCGTGGGGTCTGCGCAATGCCCGATGGCTTCAGCCAGTTTTCAGCCTGAAATCCAAAAAGAAATTAGAACCTGCCCCAAAATCATCTCCTGGCTGTGAAAGGTCCTCTTGGCAGATAAGTCAACCCAGAAACAGTCACCTGAAAGTTCAAATGTTGAAAAAGCAGAATAGATTTATCAGATGAAGAGTAAAGTCCATTCTTCTAAGGCGCATTCCACTATGTGGCGAGGGGGGTCTCAGCTCTGCTTCCATTTGCCCCTGGAGGAGGGCTTCTCTTAGGCAGTGGTTTCCACAGCCCTGCCCCCCTCCCCCATGCAAAGCCAACGTCTACTTTTTGCACACACATGGCTGCTGGGTAGGAGAGAGAAGGCAGGTCTGGGAAAGGGTGAAGTAGCTGAATATATGGGGCACCCCAAACCAAACAGTGGCACACCAAAACCTTTATACCGCTTGATCTTAACTTAGGAAGCACAAGTCTCTGCCTTGGTTTTGCTCAAACTGGAACAAGGCTTTGAGCCTGAAAGGCTGCACCAGCACCTTTGCCATACCTTCACCCGGATATACGTGCATGCCTTTGAATCAGTCCTGCAGTTTTCTTGGCAAGCCTGTTTGGAAGTGGCTTGCCATTGCTTGCTTCCTGGGGCTGAGAGAGAGGAGTTGGCCCAAGGTCACCCAGCTGGCTTTGTGCCTAAGGCAAGACTGGAACTCACAGTCTCCCAGTTTCTACACCAAACTGGCTCTCCCTTTCCCAGATGTAGATTCTCAAAAAGAAATGTAAACATTGTTTCACAACACACTAAAGAGTTACAAAATATTCAGTTGTGTTTTTTAATTACCAAACTAAGAAACATGGTATATACTCTGTTGTATTCTAATCCTTTCATTGTTAAAACTTGGGGCATTTTTCTCTGGAAGGGAAAATCCTCTTTGAATGTGCCACATTTGATGCTAAGATTGCAGAAATGATTAGCACTTCATAATTATCTGAAAAAGTCTGCTAAATTTTTTCAGTAGCAAATATCTACCCAAGTAGTTCATCTATATACTACTAAAACTCTCATGTCTGTAACCTTCAAGTGGCCGAAATGGTGGATCATAGGGCAACCATTTTTGAACCAAGGTACCTCAAATGGGCTAATTTACAGAACGCGTCCAAAATCCGGGACCCATCCCCCCTGTGGGACTGAAATTTGGGACATTTGTGGCCCCTTCAGCGCTGCTGCACTGCTACATCACCACAGTCAGCCCAGGTCACGTAGTCATCATGGGTGTATCCCCAACCTCTTTCCCACCTCTCTCTGGCCCCTGTGCCCAATCGGCTGGCAGCAAGGCCCAACAGGCGAGCAGTGATTGGCTGCTTTGGAAAGGAGGCGGAAATTTGAAATCTCTTTGCTGGCCAGAAATGGTCGACGCTTCAGCGGTTCGAGTCCAGCCTTCGCGTTGCAGGGTGAGCTCCTGTCTCCTCCCCAGTTCCTGTCAACCCAACAGTTCGAAAACTCACGTG